TTAAATAAAAATAACGTTTAAAAATAATTATTTTTATAATAGATAATATGTTAATAAATTATAATTAATTTAATAAAATTACTATTTTTATTAATTTAACCGCTTTTTTACATAAACTTAATAAAACAAAAAAATATGTTAATATAAATAATAACGCAGATATTAAGGATATTTAATCTTACTCTTAACACGTTAATTATTACAATTATTTAATATTGTAAATTTTTTAAAATTTAATTTTTTAAAATATAATTTTTTTAATTTTTTAACTTAACGCCGTTATAAAATAGAAAATATTTTAATTAATTAATTATTTCTTTTATTTTTTATATTATATTGTAATATATAATAATCTTATTTTCCTTATATATAAATAATAAATCCGAAATAACTTTTCTTATAAATTTTTAATAAATTATTTTTTTATTCTTTAATAACCGCGTAAAGCATACACCTTTTACGTTAAATATAAAGATATAATAACGTAAATTAATTTACATAATAAACTATTAAAATAAGTAAACTTAATTACGTTATAAGTTTATTATATAATAAAAGTACCTTTCGTTTTATAATAATAACGTTATAATTAAAAATATTAACTATACGTTTATCTTTTTTAAAATTAAACTTAATTACGTAAACTTTTCTTAAAATTATACCTTTTTATTTAATAATTTATATACCGCCTTTAATACCATATAACATTTGTTTATAATAATTTAATTTAATAATCGATTTTATTATAAATAGGTTAAATATATTTAAAACGTTTTTATTATAAAGATTTTAAGTATAATAAAAATAATTACTACGTTATTATCCGTTAAATTAAAAGTCCGGTATATATAAGTATAAATATTAATATTATTATAATAATATTATAAATCTTTTCGTAAAGTTATTAAAAAAATTATAATTATGGTAATATTATTAAGGATATAATATATTAATAATAAAAATAATAAGTTTTTCCTGTTTTTAATATTTTATATTTATAAGATAAATAAATAATTATTTACGATTATTTATAATATTTTAAATTATTTTAAGTAAAAGATCGTTTAATCATTATTTATTATATAATAAAATTAATGAAGGAAATTAGTTTAATTAAACCGGATAAATTACTTTATTTAATCCTTTTCGTTAAGGTTTTAAAATAATTTAAATTGTTAATTATTAAAAGGGATTATATCTTTTTTACCTAATTTTAAAAATTAATATTAAAAAATATTAATTATATAAAATTATTTTTAATAATATTTAATATTTTAATTATTAAAATCGATAAGGTAAGTATATATAATTTAAGCTATATAGCTATTATACCTCGTTTATAAATTAAAAATATCGTTTTTTTTAATTTTATTTTTATTATTATTTTTACTTTTTTTTTCTTACTCGTTTTTATTTATAAATCTTAAATATAAATACCGTTATAAAATAATAATATAAATTTATTATTAAAAGTTTATTATTAAATTTACTTTAAAAAAACAAATATTATATTATTATAATATACGCTTAATATAATTAAATTACTATAAATAAAATTTAATAAATTAAAACTTAATTATACCTTTTTAATTTTCTTTCGTTATAACATCTTCCGTTAAAGCATTTTTGAAAAATAAATTCTTATTTAAATTACGCGTTATTTTTTTTTTATTAAATTTAATTATAATTTCCTACGATTATAAGTACGAATTATATTAATTAATTTTTCGTATTTTAAATTTAATTTATTATTAAAACAATAAAACTAATTAAATATATTATATAATTAATTTATTTATTTTTTAAAGAAAATAGTAATAAATTATTTTAAATTTATTAAAATAACGGTACCTTTTATAATAATTAAATATAAATATAACTATATTATATATTATAAATAAGTTATAAAAATTATTTTATTTTATATTACATACGCGTAGTTTAAATAACTTCGTATTTTACGTTAATTACCCGTTTATCATATATATTAATATTAATAATTAATTATAAAATTTATTTACTTATTTATAATATTAATTAAAAATTTTACGTTAATATTATTCGAAACTTTTTTTTAATTAAACTTTTTATAATTTTAAATTAATTATTATTTAAAATAATAATTTAATTTAACTATCATAAATTTATAAGATATTTTTTTCCGAGGTAAAAAAGTAACTTAACCGTTATTTAAAAAAATTATCTTAAAATTAACTTTAAAAAATTAATAAATAATTTACCCACTTACTTATTTATATATTAAATGGGAAAAAAAAAAATTTACCCATCCAATTATACGTCTTTTTAATTAATTTTTATAATATATTTTATAATTAATTTATATTAAATTTAATAATTTAATATTAAATATATTTGTTATTTTAAATAATTATACTTTTTACAACTATTATTATTAAAATAGTTTTATTATAAATTAACGTTTTTATAATCTATAAAATTAATATAAACATACATTAATTATTACTAAAAAAATAAATTATAAAATCTTCGATTTTAAGGAAAATAATATTAATAAATTTAAAAACGGTAATTTTTATATTTACTTATTATAAATTTTTTATTTTTTTTAAATTACGTATGTATAATTCTTATTCCAATATTAAATAATTATAAATTAACATATAAAAAATCTTTAATATAATAATAAATTATTATATATATTAATTTGGTTTAAATTAATCGTAATTCAATTATAAATTTATAATAATTAACGTGTTAAATAATATATTATAATAATATAATTAATATAAAAAATATTTAAATAAAATAATTTATAAATTTATATACATAAAATTTAATAACTTATATAAGTTATTATTTACCTTATATTATATCCCTTTTATAATTAATTTATTTAATTTTTAATTTATATTTTTTTTATTTAACGTAAGTTAATATAATAAACGTTGTTTAAACGATTAATCTTATATACATTATATATATAAAAATATTTAACTTACTTAAATTATATATTACTTTTAAATTAACTTTTAAAAGTTAATATAAAAAGGCTTTTTTAATAATTTTAAATTAATATGGTTTAATAAAAATAAAACGTATAATTTAAGTTTAATATTATATAAATAATTTTACGCCTTATTAATTATTTATTCGAAATTTTTTTAAATAATTTATATTTTTAGTTTATTTTCTTATAAGAAATTTATAACGGTAATAAATTAGTTAAAGTTTTCGAAAATATAATAGTAAATATTTATATATTTATTTTAATCGATATAATTTACTTAAAAATTTAACGCTATTTTTTTATTTATTAAATTAAATATTTATAAAATTAATTAATTTATATAATTTAAATTATAAATCTTTTATTAAAGTATTATTATTACATTATAAATTTCTTTTATATGTAATAAATTACTCTTAAATAAAATATTTTTTATAAATACGTTTTTTTTTATTTTAAATTATTAATTTATATATTTATATATAAAAAATCGTTAATATCGTATATTTATTTTTTAAAACCGTAAGGGTATAATAATGCCTTTTTAAAGTTTTCCACATTTTTAATTATTAATTTAATTATATTAAATATAATAATAGGTTTAAATTTTATTTAAAATATAAATAATATATAAATATTAATAATAAATAAATTTATTATTTATTAAAAAAAGTAAATAAAAAATAATAAAAATAATAAAAAATAGAAATATAAAATTTTTTAAATTTTTTAATATTTAATAAATATTAAAAATTATTTTAATAACTTATAAAATTTCTTTACAACATTTTTTAATAATATTTAAATAAATAATCTTTTATAAATATATTTTAATTTTAATATTTAAATAAATATATTAATAAATTGTATAAATTAATATGCAATATTTAAAATTATAAAAAAATAATAAAATATATTTATTTATTTTATTTAAAATAAATAATATATATAATATATAATATATATAATATATAATATATATAATATATAATATATATAATAAAAATAAAATAAAAAAAAAAAAAAAAAAATTAAAAATAATTAAAAAATTAAATAAATATCAAGAAAATTTTATATATTAAATTTAAAATATATTAACGTTTTAATTTATTAAATTTAACCAAATAAAGGTAAAATTCTTATCATAATTAATTAAATATTTTTATTCTTTTATTAAAATAAAAAACATATTTATTATCTTTTAAAATATTTAACAATTATAATAAAATAAAAATAAATAATTTATATAATTAAATTTATATAAAAATAATAATTAATATAATATAAATTTTTTAAAATTTAAAGAAAATTTTTAATTTAATTAATTATAAATGCGTTAATAATTAACTTTTTTTTTAATTTTAAAAAGTAAAGTTATTTTCGTTTATATATTTATAATTAATTAAATTATTAATTATTTTTACTTAATGGTTAAAAGCCGAATCACGTGCACTTTAAACCGTAATTTCGTTGATTTTTTTATTTAAATTTTAATATAATTTATATATAATTTAAGTAAAAGTTCGTAAAGTTATTAAGGTAAACGTAAAAAAGGTAAAAAAAAAGCGAGGTACGTACCCCGTTTTACTGCACGGGTAGCAATGGGCATACTACACGACTAGTGTTACTTTTTCGCATGCACGTTTCGAGGCGCCGTGTTATTTACAACCGATCCGCCGTACATAACCACCGTGCCGGTTTTTACGCACAACCAACTTAAATAACATGGCTTTTACAAGCCGTGAGGAACCTGCCACGTAAGCCACTAGCGAGCTCACCGCGGAACGAAGCCGCTTCCATGCCGCCAAAGGTTGCGGTCGCTAGACGGGTTGCAGTTCTCAGGGTTAGGGTTAGGGTTAAGGCAAGGAGGGTAATATAAGTCTCGAGGATATCGTCACGGACCGTCCCACTAGTCCCCTCTCGAAGCAGCTAGAACTTTGTTACAAACTTGGGTTTAGGCACTTAAGTAACTATACTCCAACAAGGCCATGGGTTGATCATGGAAAAGAAACCCGACTCCAACTTCACGAAGCCCCTGGCAGTACCAACGAGATGGGGAGTACCTTGCTTAAAGAGTTACCATTGCCCGATCTTATCGATACATATGTTAAGCATAATGTACTAACCACTGCAGACTCCGTTTGCAGAAATGAAATGGATAAAGCCATCCATATCTTTGGTGCTGAGGCCGCGATAGTGACGGTTCTTAAGCAAATTCTAGCTTCGATCGTACACATTCAAGGCCGGTTAGAAGAAGCCGAAACGTTATGGAGAGAAACTCTAGAGGCAAACGAAACGGCTCTAAGTAAAGAACATCCGAGGACATTAACCAATATGGAAGACTTGGCATCAGCGTATGCAGCTCTGGGGCGCTTCAAGGAGGCCGAGAAGCTCCAAGTGGAAAGTGTGGAGCTGAAAAAGAAATGGCTCGGAGAAGAGAACACGGAAACACTGGCAAGCATAGGTAATCTCGCAGTGACCCTAGAGGATCAGGATCGCGTTGTGGAAGCAGAAACGCTCCTGACCGGAGTCGTACACGCAGAGAGGAAGATTTTCGGACCCGGCCACCCCCGCAAGGTATCCAGCATGGGTCACCTGGCATCGGCACTCCTCGCACAGGGCCGCACGGCGGAGGCTTCAAGGTGGGGGTTAGAGGCTATGGAGATTAGCGAAGCGCTACAGGGGAGAGAGCATCATGAGACCCTTGGGGCCATGTCTATCATGGTGCGGGTCCGCGTGAACGAGGGTCAGCTCCAGGAGGCGGAGCTGCTGCAGGCGGAAATACTGGAGAGCGCGACCCGGGTCCTCGGCCGGGAGCACCCCGATACGCTGGTCTACTTGTATAATATGGCGCGCATCTGGAACAGCCTGGGCCGCCATGCCGATGCGAAGGATCTCATGAGCTCGTGTGCGGAACTTCAGGTCCAGGTTCTCGGACGGGAGCACCGAGACACAAGGAAGTCTTGGGCTGATTTGGAGGCACTGGGTCGATTGACTAACAACAGATAAACAAGAATTTACTATGAACCAATGATCCGTGCGTAACTCACAGAGTCAAGTTTGCTGAAATGTAGCTGTACGTTGCATATTGACTTAGTCTATCAACTGCGTGAATGAGGAGGGAGATCGTTCTTATATATACATTTCGTGCCAGGACACCATGTGCTGTATTCGAAGGTAGTCGCTTCACAACTCATCCCATCAAGCTTATAATTATAGAGTGGGTAAAGTAGTTGATGCGATTGCTAATGGAGCGAATATTGCTTAAAATTATGCCTCAGCTGTTTAAAATATCTTTTCTACATTTTGGCCCTTGGCTCTTAAAAAGTATACAGCCAAATTTGGGGAATCAGGGGGAGGGCCCCTATGTCTAATTAGATCGATACCACCTCTGTTATGGAACGCTAAAGCGTTTAGGTCTGGGCAACTGAGTGACTAGGTAGGACGACGCATTGTTATAATCGATGTACGGCTTTGGGGAATATGAAATAACCTTCACCTCGTAGAGTACCAAAAGCCGTGTAGCGCAATAGACATCGGACCCAGAACCAGACTGTATGCTGCGACATAAACTTCGCAGTACCTTGGAGTAAAGCACAGAAGGCGAAGACGATGCCGTCGAATATTCAAACATTTGGGCAGCTCTCGCAGCTACACAGTGTATGGTGTCGTCTAGAAAGTGTTTAGGCCCATAGCAGCTCGGGAGATAAGAGAGGAAAGACGAGGAAAGGAAGGCCCATCCTGGAAAAATGCAATAGGGCGTTCCGCGTTGACGGCAAGATCTACATTGGTAAAACTATGAAGATTCATTATGTAGAAGTTATAGATAATTCTACCCAAGAAAAAAGTGACTATATCAATGACTATGGGTGGCCGGAAAAATATGTTCTCCTGCAAATGAACCGCTTGGGGCAACGTCGCATTTAAGGCCTCGAGTACAGAAGATTTGGCAGCTTTGGAGAGATCTAAGTCTTCTCAAAGTTTCTCTCCGAGATCTTTGGCATCTGTGCTGTGCAGGCTGTAGATGTAGTTGGCCTAGGCATCCTTTTCCTTAATCGAGCTGTCCTTGAGATCGGTCGTGAGATTGGCCACCAAGAGACGGCCGCCTAGAAAACGCCAGTATTATGTCAGCCTTTCCCCAAGATATTGGTATCTCTAGGTAGGTAGGACGGATGTTGCTAGTGCTTTTCCAAAGGCGTAATTAGCCTCTTCTCACCGAAGTAATTAATTCACAAGTTGATATCAAATGTCCTGTTCATTTGGAGCTCTGTTGGATAGATGCTGTCTAAAGCGGCCGTACCGCAACCTTTCGCGATCATGGCTATTATGGGGAACTGTTAGAATGGATGATCAAGCAATATAGCCAAGTACTCGGTGTCATACCTCCGAGAAAAATGCTTGCCAGGCAGGCCAGCGCAGCTAGACATCGAGAAACCCATTTACCAACCTTGCCGACCTTTCGATGACTTCGGATACTGCGGTTAGCTTTTAGACAGCCGCCATGTCGATAGTAGAAACACTCCAGTGACGGGGGCACCTAAATATACCACGGAATAATTCACTTACTTCTGATATTGTGGAAGTACTCGGGGAGCGAGACGTCTCGTTCTACCAGTCATCTTCTTCGTCGCTCGTAGAGCTGGTGTTTTTCTTGCTTTAGTCATGGTGAGTAGCTAAAACGGGATGTCTTATACCTTTAGTCAATAGTCGCAGACAACACCTGATGGCTGCTAGCCATTGCTCAATTCATATATTTCATTCCCGTGGTACTGAAGAGGGCCACCGCCATTCTGAAGAAGAGGAATACGTTAGACCTAAACCCGCGCCAAAATCCTATCCCATATGCCTAGGTTAAGCGTATTTCAAAAGGGTTCAGCTTTTCGCAGTATACTTCCTTTTGGGGTGATCAACTACCACCTCGTATTCATATGGGACGTTAACAATATGAATCTCACATTCAACTCCTTCGCTATAGTTATACTTACTATCTACTACGTTATGTCAGCAGTGAGTAATAATACATTGTGTTAAACCGATACAAAGAGGAACATTTTACTGACATGTATCGTCTGGATCTAGACGGCACTGGCAATAAACTCCACATCTCCTACAGATGCAACCTGTGGCCAAACCTGCTCTTAACAGTCAGACTGTACTGGAATATGCAGTTTCTGTTCCACGCCTGCGGAGTACCGATGGCAATGTCTAGAACCTTATGTAGTCATGCGGAATAGGGATAGCTAAGGTGTATAGTGTCGTGTACGACTTTTAGATGGATGGAATTTGGAAAGTTCCCGGCTTGGCTATCGTTCGGCCCTTGGAGTAGGGGCTGTCACTCTTAGCATAAGCATGAAGGGTAAAAAAAAAAGACCGTTGAATATGGCTTTGATATATCCTAGTTTCCTTAGAGACTTACAAAAACCCATAATTTCTGTCCCAGCACATCCATGTGGATGTTAATACTTCTTATTAAAAAAATGCGTTCTTCTAAGTTGGGCCTTTAAAAGCTTATATGGGATGGCTATCAGTAACAGGCCATAGGCATGAATATACTTGAAACCTCCTTGAAGAAGCTTAGTCTAACGACTTTGTCTCGATACCAATTGTCTCCCATGATGAAATTAATACTCATGAGCACGTGACAACCTCAACAAACGTCTCCTAAATCTCCTAAGCGTTGCTAATCTTAGCTGCGGCACTTGCTATTGACATAGTTCGCCACTCACCCGAAAGAAAACCCACCACCTTATTTATCCATGATAGCGCGGTGTGCGTATTTATTAATCCTCACATCTCATATCTCATATCTAGCACATTAGCCCTCTTCGTTAGTGAAAGGGGTGATTTTGGGGTTGTATCGAGAGTAGCGCGTAATACGAGCCATTAAATCTGGCGAGTTCCCTCTACACAATGCGCCCAGGGAGCGCATGCGCTTCAAGTAGACGTTACCTTCAGGTCAGAGGACTGAAATGGTGCATGACGGATTCAATTTCGATCTGCGACTAGAGCGGCATGCCACTTAGCATTAAAGACGATTGACTTCGATGCGTCTTGAGAGCAGTCCTGATAGGCAATTGCGCCTAGGTCGGCCTTACCGCGATATTTGAGCACTTTGGTTATATATCCGATCATTAAGTGGATAGGGGCGTAAGAGCGCATATCGCACCAATAACGATCGTTAATTAGACTGGTAGCGGCTGTGGATTATTCCCGACCGTCTTGTACAGCTCTCGGAGCTCGAATGCCTCGTGGCCTCCTTCGGGGACCTCGCCGATAACTCGGGCTGGTTGGCCAGCGACGATGCTGAAGCTGGGTATGACCATATTTGGGGGTATAACGGTGCCTTCGAGGACGCGGACGTAGTCTTTAATGATAGAGAATTCGCCGACGACGACGTTCTGGCCGATGTAGACGTGGCTGCCGACAGTTGCTGCTTGGACGACGGTGCCCTCGCCGATAAAAACGTGGTCGCCTAATCGGAGAGGAAGGAAGGTGAAGGATCTGCAAGGTGAAAGGTATGGATAGTCAGCACCTAACTTGCAAGAAATATTGCGGGCTCTTGTAAACTATGTTCTTCCGAATTACGCGTAACTGACCCTTTGTATATGCGACCCGGAGGGCGCAAACAGCATCCTTTGCTCAGATAACAGTAGCGACCGATAGCCACGGCCGTATTGCTACCAGGAGCGGCGGCTGAGCCTGATACAGCTTGCCCAGTCCTCGCCAAATCGCCGCGAATCATAGCTTCGGCCTGGATAACGGTCTTGCCGCCTAGCATGATGTGCTGTGTTCCGATCAGGATGGCTTTTCTCGAGACCTTGTTCCCCGTATCCTATTGTGAGAAGAAATGTCAACTAAGCACTCCTATATTGCTTTATAATAGGGAGCTATCTTACGGTTTCGATGTACTCGCCTTTTGCCGGTTTTCTAGACATATTGACTGAGTTGGCGCGAGTAATAGTTGGGTTGGGATGTGGAATTGAAGAGGCTAGAGCTTAAGCTGGAAGCGACGCGAAGGAGTTACGATAGCTGTAACAACGAAATATGCAATCTAGAATTGTATCATGTATTTATCACGAAGTGGGGTGGATTTGAATTCATTTAACGGGATTCATGTTAAAGTGAATCGCCAACTTTCTAACCTTCAAACCACCACCATATTATAACTGTCACTTAACCGTTTAGGTAATTTTTAAATAGATTTCGAAGAAAAATATACAACTTGAGTTATACGATTTTACTATTCAAGTCCTACACCAACAGCCAGCTTATCCTTATTAGCATACATAGAGTCCATAAGTAGACTAGAGCTTTTAAAGACGAGAGATCAGATAAACATTTAGTCGCCAAGCTACCAGGGGTCCCTGTTATCTGATTTTATCAGATCATCTATGTGATAGCTCGCCAATGATATTCCATCTCGGGCAGATCAACACTGTAACCATCCCGCCAATGGATGGTAACACGGTCTGTGGCATGGGAGCCATGTCTCCGTTCTGGCTTGTATTGTCTAGACTCTTATACTTCGAACCTTGCTTTCACCTGCTGAGTCTTGATTTCTAGAGGCCTCCCCCAAATCGCATTTGTATCTTGCTTTCAGTAAGTACACTAGAGCTACTATGCCAAAGGGTGAAGGGAAGAGGTCCCCTGAAGCAGGCCCCAAGATTGCCGCTGATGGCCAACCTCAGGAGTCGTCACGCTCGGCCGTCGTAGACGAGATCAGCCCGGCCACGGCGCAAACCGACCAAGGTCGAGGTAGCGTTGACATGGACGAAAAGCACATCCCAGACTTGGAAGGCCAAGATGGCGTTCGAGACATCGAAGCGATCACTCAGACCTGGTCCAAGAAATTAATGATAATCATATACGCATGGTAATAAACCGAAAATATCAACAAATCATGTACTAATTCATCCCTGGGCTATTAATCGTCAATTTTATCTTAGCCTTCGAGTCCAGCCTGTCCAACTCTCTCATTGCTTACGTTACAAGCGACTTCTAGCGATATTCGCTACTCACGACAGCGCGAGTCGTAGCATTCATCTTCGGGGGGGTCTCATGTATTCCTATCGCAAAGATCGTCGATATCTGGGGTCGACCCGAAGGGTTCGCTTTGATGACCTGCTTCGCGACGCTAGGGAATGTATTGATGGCCGTGAGCAGAAATGCCGAAATCTATGCTGCGGCTCTCGTATGCTTCTTACCTACCTCTTCTCCCGGCCTAGGTGTATCCTAAAATACTAATGATTGCTTTAAAATGTATTCTACCGCGTTGGTGAGGACGGTATGAACTTTGTGCTCGACGTTTTGGTTACGGATACTTCGAAACTGCGAAACCGAGCATTGCTTTTAGTTGTGATGTCTGCTCCATTTTTGGCAATCACATTTGCGGGACCCGCCGCCGCTGAAGACTTTCTCCTTGGTATTGGTTGGCGATGGGCCTATGGTACCTTAGCAGTTATTGTTCCCTTCTCTGCGATTCCAGTTCTCTGGATCTTACTATACACTCGCAAGGAGGCGCGCAAACAGTTTCCAGCTGCTGTTCGTGAATCAGATCGGACATGGTCACAAAGCGTAATGCATTATACAATGAGTTTGACGGTATGTCTAGGGGAGGGGGGTATTATATGGTGATTTTCGCTAATTATTCAAGTTATTGGCATGGTTCTTGTCGTGGCTGGATTCTCGCTCCTCATATTACCCTTTAGTCTCGCCACGTATCAGACCGATAAGTGGAGGTCGGCTGCGATCATCACCATGATTGTTATTGGTAGCTGGTCACTTGTCGCTTTCTGCATTTGGGACAAATCTTGCCAAAGTGACGCTCTTATCGTTCCACTTGCTGTTGGAGCATACAGTCATGGGTGCTTGCATTACGAGCGGCATGATATTGATCGCCTCGAGTTGTTGGGGCTCGTAGTTATGTATGAAAACTTCTGATTCTGCGAGCTTTCCTCGGCGTTCTTCTAACAATAGTGGCTAACGAGTTAGTAGTAAGTCAAATAATTTTATAATCGCCATTTTCTAAAACGGGCCATCAAATGTTCCAGGCAGGTATGATGGTAAGCTGACTCGGTGTCGTAATGCGTTAGCTTTCAAAGCCACCTCCATGTAGTCTTCGATTCATCTATAAAAGATGCGGGCTGGATCAGTAACATCTACAACTTGGGTTCATGCTGTTGAAGTGAGTGGTCAAGGGACTACTTTCAGGTACAGTACATGGTATCTTGGCATGGAATGTATGTATAAGAAGGACCTCCCTCCTCACTCATACAGTTGGCAGACTAAGTCAATATACAGATACAGCTCATATGCCGTATCTTTCAGCACATGCTCCTGGAGTTTTGTTATCGGTTATCTAACCCGTGTGACGAACCGGTATAAGTGGTTGGCTCTCGCTGCAGCCCCTCTGCTTGTTATGAGCGCCGGGTTCATGATCAAGTACCGCATGCCAGGCACTTCACTCGGTTTAGTGGCCATGTGTCAAGTGCTTGAGACTATAGGCGCCTCGGTAAGCATGGACGTTTTTGTTCTTAAGGCCACTGATTTTTAGTCTGATCATTGCCGGACGCTTGTCGTAACCGAAAAGATTGCTATTATGGCCGCCACCAAACATCCTAACGTGGCCATGGCACTTGCGCTCCTCGCTCTGTTCACTGCAGTCGGAGATACAATCGGCCTTGGCGTCAGTGGTGGGATACTATGTATAGACAAATAGTATGCCCGGCCTACTCGAGAAGCACCTCCCGCTATAGCTTGAGGACCAAACCAGCAAGATTTTTGGGAGCCTCATAGTGCAGCTGTCGTATAAATGGGGAACGCCTGGACGCTTAGTTATCATGGATGCTTATAGTGAAGGCATGCAGTGTAGGTGCATTGCTGCGTGCGCTGTCCTGTCGCTGACGATTCCCTGCGCGCTAGCCTGGAAGAATTTGGACTTCAGGGGTAAGCAGATGAAGGGTAGAGCAGTATAATGTGGCGCCCGCCCCCTTGGATATCCCAAAACAAAATGCTACAATCTATGACTATTATCGATAACTAGCCACCCAAGAGTTCTAGTAAGGCACGAATAGTAAATGGGTTCTACGATCAGTGCTATTCTTCTAGTCCTAGGGATGGAATGCCAAGTGCCCCTTTAGGGAAATTACGTTGAGGTATAATATTTAGGGGACAGTTGCGATTATGTTAGAAATTAAGAACGATTCCGGCTTAAATCACGCAAATATATGCGAGTTATTAATCCGTCTTCAAGGCCTTATTACTACTGAGTGAGCTACTGGGTAGTATTCAAGATGGTTGATGCTCATTTGTCCAAGACAACAGGGTTATCCGGGTAGCCACTTTATTTTAGGAGGAGTTATTTTCTCCATTAGCGGCTGTGATATCGTTGGATATTTGAATAGATTATGATTATAATACAGTTGATTTACATGTGTTAATTCGATTCGCATCCACCAATACTCATCACTTCTCATTCTTCGAAGTGAAAAGCGTTGTAGTAACTTGTCGAAACCCTAGCCTTTAGATAGCTTTATTCATTACAATTATTAGCTGATCAAGCCCGTGAGAATTATTCGCCATCGTCAGAGTAGCGTATTATGCTGCAACGCATGACATTCTCAGGCTGTTTATGAGAGATCCTTAACGATAGCATCATATGCAGGTTTGGGCTGGTAGTTGGTGTTGAAAAGGAGCGGTGAGCTCTTTGCTTGCCACGAATCCTAAGGAAAGTTAGTTTTTGATGCCAAGTGTCTTGGATGGGGAGACTCACAGCATCGCTCACGCCCCATAGAGTGATTCCGACACATTTCTCGACAGCAAGGCAAGCATTAGTAACTTTGACATACTCATCGACTGGTGCGTTGACGATATCCAACTCGGTAATGGCAAGTTCCTTCACACCGGTTGTAGCAAGCTTCTCTAGCCCGGCCTGCATTCCGCTAGCGCTGGGGTTGCCACCGCCAAGGTGACCTTGGATGCCAATACCGTCGATCGGTATACCAGCAGCGAGCCACTTCTTTACGTGCTCAAACATTCCGGTGGTAGTCTTAGCGGACGTTCCGCTCTCGAGATGGAAGTCGTTAATGTAAAGCTTGGCGTCCGGGTCCGCCTTGTGCGCCGCCTCGAAAGCGATACGAACAAAGTCTTCACCTAGAACTTGGGTAAAAACGCAATCGCGGAGGGTACCATCCTCGTTGAAGACCTCGTTGACAACGTCCTAAACCAATCGTATTAGCGTATTTCCCCTCTCATATTCGGGGTTGGCAGTTACGTACCCAAGAGCGAATCTTTCCCTTGTATCTTCCGACGACGGTGCTAATGTGGTTTTCGATGACGCTGGTAAGCTCCTTTTTATCTGTGATAGCCTTGACATAGTCCGGCAGCTGCTGGTACCAGAGGAGCGTGTGGCCTCGAATGCTCTTGCCGTTCTGCACGGCAAAATTGACAAGCGCGTCGGCACCGCCGAAGCTGAAGCTACCACGGGCTGGTTCGATAGCATCCCACTTCATACTATTCTCAGGGGTTAGTTGCCCAAAGTCCTTCTTAATGATGGCGGCATTTTGGGACTTGGAAAGAGTGCCAGAGTCAGCTGCGGTGCCGTAGTAAAGCTTGCCCTTCGCCTTGAAGAGTTCGTCAATGCTGTCAGACGAGGAACCGCCACCTTGAGTAGATGTTGGGGCAGCAGAAGTCGTCGTGGAAGAGGTAGCCCGTTCGCTGGCGGACGATGTAGCGGAAGGGGTTACTGAGGGAATAGCCGTTGAAGTGATGGAAGCGATTGAGGTTGCCGTAGTAGACTCGCTAGTCGATGATGCGGTAGCGGTATATGTTGCCGAAGAAATTGCCGAAGAAACTGTAGATGAGGTTGTCTGAGAACGATGGCCACCACATGGCCTAGCCACAATACCCACAGGGCTAAGGAGGAGAGCGAGTGTTGCCGGCTTCATTGTAACGAGTGTGAGTTTAGAAGATTAGCAAAAGATAACTTAAAAATGAATGGATCGGTCAGATGTAGGATGTAATTAATGAGAGTGAGCGGCTGAGCCTAGAATAGGATCTCGTTGCCGTCTATCAAGTTTTGCTCGAGATAGATAGAGAGAAAGCACCGTAGCAACTCAACATCGTGAATCTGTTACTCTCTGGTTATGAGAATGGCTTATATAAACTCACCAAACCCCCATCCAAGGAGTAGTCCCCTAAGAGAGACCCCTAAGAGGAGCCCTTAAGAGGCTTAGACTATGCAAATCCGGAACGTGTTACCGACCTACGCGCGACCTAAGTCGTATGCAGCTAATCAGCGGTTATGGCTTTCCCAAAATGGAATATTTTGTTTAATGATGTTCCATTCAGCGTTGTCCTAGAATCTGCTAGTTAAGAACTACTCATGGTATTGGTTGTGTGCGAGATATCGGAACTATCCGAGACGGGGATGGTGGTGAGATCTCTTTTGACACATATGTCCGGTTGGTGGGGCATCGGCGGAACAGGTTCAGGGGTAAGTCACACGTGGGCCGCCGATAGATATAAATAACATAATGATGAAAACGCCTCGTCTCATCCAGCGAGGTAAATGTCATATAACCTTAGCAGAGACATTCTTAACATATCAGTTCATCTTCTCTTTGTCGTGGTTCCTCTCGTATTAGTAGTGAGTTTTCTCGGGTCAATATTCTTACTCTTGTTCCATGTTCGCGTGTCGATTGTATTCGATACCACCTCGTTTTAAGTCAAAGCGTTCCAGGAGGATGCGTAGCTTGCATGAAATGCGACTTAAAACGGCACATATACTCCAAAACCACGCTTCTGGGTGTGGTTATCTTGTATCATCCATAACTAATAGCCCTTGGCGTTAAGAAAATACGAAAGCATACGACGGAACGCGGCCGCGATTCTCTACGCGGAGGGAGTTATTCCGTAATAGGTATAACATATAGATGAAAGGTACTAACTATATAGCAACTTTAAAGACTTCTAAAGAGGCACTAATTAAGGTGCGCATCGTAGAAGAATTTTCCTAGCGCTGGCATGAAAAAGAAGAGCGAAATTCTAGAAGATTATGGTCTAACTTGTATAGTTAGTACTAGCACGTTGATCAAATAATGTCTCCGTCAGCCATGACGCATATCCCATGATCTCTCCGCAATTGCTTCTTTAACCAGTAGGAATAACATGATGATTCCTCAAATTGACAATGAGACATTGTGTTCTATAATTTTCAAATTATATAATCGAATAAAATCAGGGTCGGCCATATAACCCATCAGATATAACCACGATATATCCCGAATAGTGTATTAATTGTATGTCCAGAGTTGTGATCGTCGATGCCTACTAATATGACCTCACTTTCCCAAAGAGGAAAACAGCTATCATCATGAATGTGGCCCAAGCTCCTTCTACGTCCTTGAAATAAGACAGCCTTAAATCAGATTAATGACATCAGAGTGATCCAAGTTACTAGCAAAACTTGTCAAGGTATATCTAAAATCCAAGCTGGCCCGACTGCTTGCTATAAATGAAATCGCTAACCTACCATTAGATTCTCATCGAGACTAAGACCAAAACTCCTCACATTCTATCCGCTTCAGATATTTATACCACTTTCAATTGCCAACGGCCGCTACGAATTCCAACATGCCCACCACCAGATCCGGTGCCAAAGTTGAGTCGACCTCGAAGAATGGAAATGGAGAGGGAGCCGGCTCTAAGCACCAGCTGGATACGAAGGCACCCCCAAAATCTAAACGCACCAAAAATGACGGCGACAAGAAACAGCAAACAACAGAAGATACTATTCCAAGGTACTCCTACGACACAATCTCGTATGGCATTGATAATTAGCTAATCTAGTCAGTCCTACTGAAGCGTACGGCGACGGCACAAGCCAGCTACCAGCTGATGAGAACAATGGGAACAATATAGATAGTAAGAATGAGGTGAAGCAAGAGGAAACAGATCAAAGGGGCTCGGCTGAGCAAGTAGGGGCGAGAGGAGGGGTCGTCCCGCCCAACATCTTGGAGAAGGGTATCATATACTTCTTTATCCGCGGCAAGGTAAATATCGACAAGCCCAGCAGTATCAATGATATTCGTCGCAGTTACATCATCCTGCGTCCGCTAGCCAAGGACGCAAAGCTTGGCGAAGGCACGATCGACGACGTTGGGAATAGTCGCTTGATCGTTATCCCAAAGAAAGTATTGCCCTCGAGTGGCAGGGATCGGTGGATCGCGTTCGTCGAGAAGTCGCATGCCTCTTTTAAGACGTTAAGGGATAATTTCCTATCTGCGTCGGAATATACCACTAAGACGGCCGGTGTTCGACACACGCCCGCTGCTACCCCCGTAGCGGAAGGCGTTTACGCTATTACGAGTACCGGTCGAGAATCCCATCTCGCCTACATGATAACTATACCGGATGATCTTGGCGAGGTACAGAAGGAACTTGGACTAAAGAAAAAAGGAAGCTTCATTATAAGCACCAGAAACCCCCAGTATGAGCCACCGAAGGGTCTTGGCCTTCCCCGAGCTCCCGAATATCCAAAGGAGTAAGTCCTCTTTAAATTGTACCAACATAGACTGGCTATCAGCTAACAGTTTACGCTAAAGGGTGCAAGATGAATTCCGAGGCCGACGATGGATCGCTACGCAGCCTAAGCATCTTGACTATGTAAACACCCAATTTTTACTAATTGGCGAAAAGAGCGGCATTCAAAAGGCCACGGAGCCGCAGAAGGGCCAGAAAGGCGACTATGAAGACCCCGTAGAGGAGCTGGAAAAGCTGGAAGATGAAGACACGCACCGCATGAAGAGTCTACCGGGTGACGACTCGGCGGCCATCTTTCAAGACTTGCACGTTCGTGCTCAGGATTATCCCAAACTCCAAACCACCTTTCACACCTAAGAGCTAATCATAAGAAAATGTAACTTGACGAGATGTACTACAGAAAAAAGGAACAACTTGTAACGAAAATAACGGAAAGGAGAAAAGGGAACTTCAATATAATTAATTGAGTTTAGTATGGCAATATTCCTACTACCAAGGCCAATTGCTGCTGTATCGCACGCATTGAAGCTGCTAAAAACTAGCCTAGCGTGTGCAAGATGGACCCACAAATAGTGGAGTTTTGCCCTATAGATTATTTTATCGCGAGCCAATTCCCATCAACCCGAAAGAAAAGTCTCGATTCGTCTAGTGGTTAGGATACCTGCTTGTCATTGAATTCGCAGGTGGCCGGGGTTCAATTCCCCGATCGAGAGATACAACTTGTTGGTTTTTTTTTTTTTTTTTTTAAGTTCTTTTATTACCCTCCGCCCAACATGCGTAGGAGGCAGTAGCTTTGTACTTCGTGCCTAGGCATCTAATTAATCAAGGCCACAGCTACCTCTCCTAACGCACTTCGTTCTTTTTAAGGCCATTTTTTATTTCATCGATATCGTGATACCGTCCAATTTACCTAGTGTAAATTATAATAAGAAACGGGCTATCCCGAAGTCGATGTATTTGTCCTCGCTAGCGGTAGGACCGTAACCTTTGGCGTCTCCCAAATGTCCCAATCGTATGATACCTGAGGATCACCCAACGGCCTCAGAGTAGCGATGCGGAACCTATAAGACCCGGGCTCAATACTCGATCCGTTAGCAAACCGTCCTAGCCAGTAGTAGATTCCCCATTTATCGCGCGGCTGGTCATACATCGGGAAAGAAAAGATATCATCCTCGCTGTCTTGGGCTGGATCGAACCACTGAGAATTTGCCGTGCCGTTCCAATATGTGGCCGCTCCGACATATTTACTCTTACCGACCTGAGGTGGGTATACCCAGTCGGATTCGGTATAATCTTCGTTGAAGATCTGAGTTGACAGAGAGTTAGTTCAATGATATCTATGTAATGTAGAGAACGGAGTGAGTAAGCTTACATCCCAGCGTAACTCTTCCGTACCCCAGGCGAACATAGTATTAAGCTTGGGGAAATCTTGCGCATCGCGGGATAAGTTGAAAGTAAAGCTAATTAAAATATTAATATTTCTATACCCACAATATTCAGCATCGAAGGTCGGGGGAGCTTACTTGGGCTTCTGCTGGATTCTATTGTCCGAGATCCCAGATGTCAACCAAGGGTAGCTATTACCATAGTCCCAGATATTGGTGATGGTCTGGTTGAGGTCGCAACCAACACCTGCCTCCATAGTTAGATAAAACCGTATCCCAGGTCAACATTAATATGAATTACGCATAAATACTAACCAAAGTAAGGAACGCCGAGTTGCTCGCCATTATCGCCGCTTATTAGGATCTTGCCGCTGTAAACGGGTAGGCTGCTAGCGTTGAGTCTTTCGGGGGCGGTGAAAATAAATCTGCAAGAGTATTAGTACAATAATGTCCATTTATATCGCCTTGGGGACGTGAGAGGGGATTCCGTACTCTGCTGTTTTCTTCTCTCCAGGAGCAACAGTGAAATCGCCCTTGGGGAATGAAACCTTAGGGGTCATCTCTACCGGGTTCACCTCTGGGTAGAGCTTAAGTCCAGGAATAAATGATTGTGGGTGGCCCGGTACAATCGGCTTCCACGAATCGTAGCCGCCAGCATCCTGGAGCGAAAACGTATACGTGATAGGCTTGTTCCCGTGATTGGTGATGTCAACCGAATGCGTACCGGCAAAGTGAGCTGTGTCTTTAAGCTCAAATTTGCGGCCCTCGAACCCAAGCTCTGTAGAATATTCTAACACGCGCTCGGCGTCAACAAACCCAGCACCAACTTGTGTAGTAGGTGCCCAGAACCCGTAGTCAGTAGCGCTTGTAGACCAGTCAGCCCAGGGAACAGCGCGTGCGGTGCCCATAATTCTGGCGGTAAGTCGCTTGGCCCACGTAGGATCATCTGGGTGAGCAGCTCGTCCACCGAACTTTCCTACCCATAGAGCGGCTACGCCAGCAATATATGGAGTGGCCATGCTCGAGCCGCTAAGTACTTGGTACTTGTCGGTTGGATAAGTAGAAAGGATCTTGGTACCCGGGGCGGCAATATCCGGCTTGAGTGCAAGGTCGTATGTTCCTCCCCAGGACGTGTATCGCGCTGGACGGCCGCCACCTGAATTGTAAAGGCCGACATAGTGGGCGGTATCGACGTCAAACGACGCCGTAACCTCGACGCCTGCGGCGACCGCGTCAACGATTGCCTTACCCGAGCGAGCCTCTATGGCTGCTATGAGGCCGGTGGTATTGCTGGTATATACAGTTTGGTACGGTCTATCATCATTGTAGAATAAGACGTATCGTGCACCGAAGGCTGCAATGTTGGTATACTTAACGGAAATTTCACACCCTCCAATTCTAGCCAGGGCGACAGTCCCATCGAAGCTGGTGGTGTTAGACGGCAGTGGGCTGCAGGCATCATCCTCTACTGACGAGTTGAACGACACCGGTTTGATAGGCCAGCCGAGGATGGTATTAGGGAAAAAGTCGGACGAGGGTATGTAAGCAATTTGTGTCTTGTTTGACTGGCCGTCCAATTTAAAATCCGCTGAAAAAGCCTGGGAGGGGAATACCCCGGGTTCGGCAGCTCCTACAGTAAGGACGTTTTTCCCCGACGCACCATTGCTAGCATCAAATGGGCCATCCTCGCCTTCATTTCCTGCAGCAATAGAAATAACTACACCTTGCTCGACCATCCTCGAAGCCAGCACGGCCCAAGCGTTGGAGGTGAAGCCGCTATTCTCTCCGAGACTTGCGCTAATGATATCAGCCTAGAGGACAGTTGTTAGCGGTGGGTTGAACGCAAGTAACCTTTTAAGGTCTTAATAGAGGGCAAAGTCCCGGTTCACTTACTCCCGAGTCGAAGGCCTTGAGGAACCCTTCGATGACCGTCTCTTCGTTTGAGTAGCCACTGTTTCCGAAGACTTTGAAGGAGAGTAATTTGGCACCTGGAGCAACACCAACAAATCTATCTCGTGTCAGTATTTATACGGGGGCGATGCAACCATATCACAAGAGCGGCTTACTGGTCACTCTTCCCTGCGATTATTCCAGCGACGTGGGTGCCGTGGCCATATTCGTCCATCGGATCGTTGTCAGGCTCGGCTGGTACGTCAGGCCATGCTGACGAAACGGATCCAAGTCAGCCTCACATGCGCGGCTATATGACAATAAATTAGGAGTAGAGACAAACCGCTGCCAACAAGATCATAACCGCCAATCACTGTATAGTTTGGACCAATGCCTCCACCGAGCTATGACCAAGTCCTTATTAGCGAAGATGGAAATTTGTCTATTTGACTGGGTTACTTTACCGCGGGATGGGTATATTGGACGCCACTATCGACGACAGCTATAATCGCACCCTCGCCAATGATTCCGGCTTGGTGTAGCTTCTCTACACCTGTCGAGCCATGTACCGAGTAATTAGCAGCAGCTGCATCGCTGCTAAACGACTCGCCTTCTATTGCGGGTGGCAAGAGACGTACGACAGTCGATCTGTAAACTGATGCTACGACAGGGCCATCTTCATCGGCGTCAAGAGCGTCTGTGAGCGACTCGGCGCTGCAGTGACTTGCACACTCTATGCTCACCCCCGGGAAGAGATCCGAGTCGAACTCCTTCACAACGCGGAGCCCGGGGAGTCCCGTAACCTTAGCCGAGACGTGGGCTCTGTGCGCACGCGACTTCAGCTCGACGATGAACCGCCTTGGGGTGGCATTTTCGCCGATCTTCACAGTGCTGTTGAGGTCACGACGTGAGATGGATTCGGCGCGATGCGCGCTACTAGAAGCCGCGAGCAGGAGCGGTAGTATGGAGTGACCTACGCGCATATTGTCGTCGGCGGGTTTACACACGAAAAGACGTGTGCCTCAAAGTCGAGGTGCGCTATTACGAGAGTGAAAACCCACGACTTTATATCCATCGTTATTCAATAAGTACAGCAGCATTTTGCCAAGCTATACCGATCTCGTATTTCGACGTTGCATCGACAATAGGGCTAGGAACTCAAGCATTATCAGCCCGTATTTTGTGGATGCTTTTGATGTGGATTATGCTTCGTGAAAGATTTGCCCCAGCAGCCCTGCCGATGGGCCATCACGGCAATGAACTTCCTGGCTTGGCCCCGGGATATTGCCAGTTTAGGCGAGAAATCCCGGGCGCGATGGATTATCCATGCCATGATGCCGTTGAGTACGAGTATCTAACCCAAGGCTATGGAGTTATATCGACGATGATTCGATGATTCGATAGAGTGTACCGAAAAGAGAGCAGAGATAAGTACCGGAAAGCGATAAATCAGTTACTTAACCTAGGTTAATGCACTGGCTGCCTTCGTGAACTCAGGGCATAACTTTCCAAGAGATTAAGAGAAGAGTTTATCCGAGCGCCCATACCAAAATGTCTCTTCTTGGCTATTATAGCAACCAAAAATCCCGTCGGCGCTAGGTGGATCTTTTGAATTTCTCGGCTCGAGCTTGCACGCCGCCTATAATAGGCTTCCGCAAATAAGTATGTGGAATCTTGATAGACAACTCGGCCTTTGAAACACCATGTAGCAGTGCTTGGAAGAGATCGGAGGCTTTCGACGTATTGCTGATCTATTGCTGGGAAAGAAACGGGACTGTATCGGCCTTTGTGTTAATATAGATGATCTCCGAACCATCGCTTTTGACGACATCAATCTGCCAACTATATCTTATAGGATAGAGATAAGGTACGACATCACATGTTCGACATGATCTCGGACTAGACGACATCTTAGCTATGGAGTAGTATTTAACGAACTTGAAAAAGAAGAGACTGAATATTGGCCTCATTTTCTTTGTCATATTTCCTTTCAGTGTCCGTGTATTACCCATCGTGTACTTTTCGTCTTGCTGTAGGCATTGAGTAGGGTGGTGGCAGAGGCAAGCATCTGGCGAAACCAGCATTTGCCCAAACGAGCCGAGACGAACGTTACCCATAGTAGCTTCGTTCATCTTTTTCTTGTAAAAGTTGTCGTCATAATAACGTTTCACGGAGATACCGACATCGATACCAGTCCATACAACTTATTGTCTATCGTTCGAGCGTCGAGGATCGAGAGGATTGTCTAAAAGTCGCGCGGTTGCTAAGATCGTCGCTCCAGTTTGTATATTCTAATAAACACTCTTGTTAGCATCGATATCCAGCCCTATGTTGTTCCGAATGCCGCCCATTGTAGCAGATTTAATAGTCGGTGTCCTAAACGATATCAAGATAAGGTAGAGCTCTTTATAAATTCTCGCGCTCCTGTTGTTGATGAGCTGTAATCATCACACAAGATGGACTCCGGCAATAAATGCGTGCTCACCCTACCCCTTACAAATATTAAAGCTAGAGATACGTCCCTTGCCCTTCTTATGTAAGTATTAAATAAGTAGCTCGGCTGGTTACTACGGGTACAGCGGCGTGGCTAATTTGTACACCTACCTAACGTAAGATGGAAGATGGGAGGGAGCCCACAGAGTAAGACCCCCAAAAGGTCGGGTAGATAGAACCGTTACTTTGATATACGTATGATACCTAAGTACTAAGCGAGTTCTCTTTATATTGGTAATGCTACCCGTCCTAGTCCTTCGGGGAGAAAAATGATGGTCACTAGATATTGGCCAGTAAGTTGAAAATTCCAACAGCAATATTACAATGCAACCATCTCCATGCAGGCTAAGCTTCGTCACTGCCACCGTCAAGAAGGCGCATTGCAGTCCTTATCTCACCGGGGCTAATACGAGTGGTAGCTCATGCACACCAGACTTCCCTCTTTCGATGTTTAGTCGTAGTAGACGATGCTTTACTCCTACTATTCGGTTCGGTATCTACTTAGGTAGGTAAGCAACTGCTCTTCGTATAGGTATATAAACCTTTGAGGCTCCGGTACGGAAAGAAAATAGTAACCTCTCTCGTACACAACATTGCCCTTGATTACTACCACATAGCATACAAAGGACAATACATGGGATCCGGGTCTTAACGGCCTATTGACCCGGAGTTTATTCCCAGGGTTTATCTCCAAGCATCACGTTGAATTTCCTAAATTTGAAAGGAATCTATGGTTTACTCTTCAAAAAAGATTTTTCTCTAAGCGGACCTTCTTCGCAGTATGACTAAAGAGTCATGTTCCGAGTTCACTCGACATCTATTCAAGGTCTATTCGGATGGTGCTAGGCTTTAGCAGGGGTAAAGCTACCTCCTTCGCAAAGCTTTCAAAGGCAGAGCCTTAAGGTCAAGCGGCGTATGCAGCCTGGGGGAATACAATAATCTTCGGCTTCGATGCCATCGGCGCAGTGGCGCTCTATTAATCACATTACATGACGATTACTTATTACAAGGCCTTTACTAGGACAAATATTTAAAAACCATACTTCAGGGCTAAGTCGGTATGGCCGATAAGCTGTGAACACCGGAGCCATGATTCAGAACCCGACCCGAATGGAATAACACTCCAACATGGACTGCTCCGGCGGTAAAAGCTAATACCATGGGATATACCGCCGTGCAACAACATGGCCTTCCGCAAATGCCTAAGCCCCAGCCCAGATATAAATACGAATAAGCCCTGCGTCATGAGTTCCAACATCCTAAATCCAAAACATACTTCACTCCCACAAAAGTATGAGGATCCATCATAGCTTACCACCTCCTATGAACAATGTCGCAAAGAGAGATTTTAGAAGGCAAGCTCTAAACAATGATTCTTCCCTCATGTTGCGATATTAAATTAGTATAGCTAAATAGCGAAAAATCGATCGATATCAACACACGTCGTATTAATAAAAAATAAACATAAAAGTTTGATGCACGGTGTCTTAGTTAGAACAGCTGCTCAGCTTAGTGCTCAACTTAGAGATGCGAGGAAAGATCAGCAACATAGGTAGGACCAAAAGAATACCCATGTATATCTTATGCTGGTGTTGATTCAGGTGCATAAATCAAATTTGGACAATAAGATGAGGACCTTGTTACGGTTGGATGGTATTCTATATCCACATAGAGAAAACAATCTGGGAAAGAAACACTCAACAATGCTTTTTCTAAATTCTTCTGCTATTATCCCAACTGTGTTTACAATATTGAAGATATAAAAATATACTACTGCTGCTGCTGCTGCTGATCGACATTGGTATACCAAGGTCGAGATACTTTCCCCGACCTGCGGCTAGAACTTTCTGAACCACGATTAGCTTGTCTTGCACGTCTATTCCGACGGTCTATCAACTACTCACTATCGGAAATATAGGGGCAACCCCGAATGCGTCTGTCATACTCTATCGTTACATAAGCCTACCTTATGACCAATTCTTATTATAGAAAGGGGTTCTGTATTCTAGATAGGGTATATAGAGCAAATTATGCTCTGAGTATACGCATCTGTACTTCCATACCTGGTTTGGGTTGGGTTTTCTTGTGGGAGGACTTCGTCGTTCTATGCTTCTTAGACCGTGTGGAGTTAGTGTTTTAGGCAAGGAGGGGAATTACCGCCATGATCGTTGGCCGCCAGTTGCGCCGCTCCAGTTGGGAACGGTAATTTCAACGTTCCAGTAAAAATGAGTATCCAACTACCGTGTTAATCGGTAGCTAAGTGTTTATACGTTAATGAGTATGTAGTGCGTTAGCTACTTAAAATATCGAATGCCTCTATACACCAAAATAGATACGATATAGGAGTAAGTTAGGCGATGGAAAATTATTACCTAGGAGATAATAAAGACACCCTAGGGAGGGTTGCCGCCGAGTCTGAGCCTTATATAAGGGTGGGATTTCTTTCCCCTATTTTAGAAGGGGTGTGGATTAAGTGTCACTATGGTATCAATATACTGGGTTAGAACCTATGCCCTCATCTTCATACCTTATGTTTTCCCATACAATAGGTATCTAAAAAAGGTGGAAAGCGAGTGAATGCATTGCCAGGGCGGCCAGGGGAGGTTGGATAAGCCGCACAGCGTGGTCTTTCTTCGAGGTACTCACACTTTCAGCTAACGGAGCCTAACTTAGATTTATATCTAGAGGCTAAATAATATGCCTTTCTTTTCTTACTCCCTATCCCGAGGTAGACCAGCGGTGGCCTCAAGCTAGACTACGGAAGCACTATGCATAGTGTCCCTATTCTTGACCAGCGGTAAGACCTAGTCCATGGCCACTGGGGCTCATTGGTAGTGGATATCGAGGGTATCGAGAGTATCGGGGTTACTACATAAGCTGCCTGGCAGGTCGACGTCATCGATAAGATTTTGATCCTTTGGGAGCTCTCAAGAGTCCTAAGTGTACATGTGGTTAGGACCGAGAAGTGCCTCGCATAAGTACCGCTCAAAGAACGAGATATTATTAATACGCTTAGGGTACCTATAGAGACCGGTAGTTATTGGATTACTATTCGGCATATTGACTACTTGTATAATGGATAAGGACGTATAGATTAGGTGAACACCGGCATGTCGGTAAGCTTGTTTCATTCAGCTGCATGCCCTGGGGTTACATGGAAAGACTTCAACTTCAATATAAGCTATAGATTACTTACTATTCTATATAGACCGGTGAGATCTTTAACTGTATAGTGATAAATTGTTGCTGGTTGCGGGAAGCAAGACGATTGCCAACCACCAGACAAGGCATCATAATAGGAACGAGGCTCTGGGTTACCATATTGTACGATATGAGTATATTACGTAGGCTAGGCGATATAATTGATTTCGTTAATAAGTTTGACTCGGTAGCTCGTCTGGGTCTCGAATTTCCGACTCGGGAAAGGTTAACAGAAGGCCAATTAAGCTTTCTTTAGTTGATTGGTTGCACTAGTCAAAACCTGGATGGCCTTTTATGGACAATTTCCGAATGGGCTTTACAGTAGCTTTACCCGGAGTTGACTGCCGAGGAGACCGGTAGTACGTAGTGTGACACTAATGTATTTGGACG